GACTCGACAGAGTCAGAAACGAGGACGTCAGAGCGGTCACACAGACGGCTCCTATCCAGCTGAAGGCACGAGAGCAGCGACTGCGATGGTACGGTCATGTACTGAGGAGGCCTGAAGACCACCCAATAAGGAAGGCATTGGAACTCGAGGTAGAGGGCAAGCGACCACGAGGAGCCCCAAAGAAAAGATGGAGGGACGTCATCAAGAAGGACCTCACTGAAGTGAAAGCCACAGCAGAAGATGCAGTGGATCGGAACAAGTGGCGACGTCTAACAAGAACAGCGGACCCTGCGACGGCGCGGGACTAACGCTAGGGAGAAGAAGAAGAAGGACGAAGGACACTGTTACGCTAAAAGCAGTACCAGAAGAATAGTGACTAATGGAGTAACTGTCAAGGATGGCGTCAGATAGTTACAGCTGTATCAGTCTCACCTTTCCGTGAATTTCTCAAGAAAACTCCAGCAACCTTCCCACTTTTCTCTGTAAGCAACTCTAATCATCCTAACGTTGGAAATTAGCAGTACGTTGCGAAGCGGCGCTGTAGCGCGACGCTGTAGCGCGACGCTGTAGCGCGACGCTGTAGCGCGACGCTGTAGCGCGACGCTGTAGCGCGACGCTGTAGCGCGACGCTGTAGCGCGACGCTGTAGCGCTACAAGTATGAACGCTGCCTAAGGCCTGATAAGAGCGTTAGAAGAGAGGGTTGTGAAATCATGACGCGGGCTACGACAAGCACTGAGTGAAGGGTGAGTAGCAGAAATTGATTTTGGGTGGCAGGAAGAGGTGTAAATTGATAAAGGCTTAACAGAAAGCGAGATGTAGGGCGATGGTCATGCTTCGGGTAGCTTATTGAACATAGGCTGTGGAGTCTTGAAGGTGATCTGTGATATGGATCCTTGTGATGTAAGTGATGAATGGGTTTGCAGTTGTAGGGGAAGCCAGTTTCGTCACTGGAAGTGCTCCAGAACCAGGGCACGTCACTGGTTGGGAATTTTGGTCGAGTCCGTACGACCCCCGCTTTTTATTGAGTTTGCTACGACCTCCAGGGAGACGTGCAACAGAATCGTCCGGGGAAGCCTGCGGCACGCGGCGCGTCGCGCGGCGATTGACTGGCAGTTCACTCACTTGCAGTTGCTTGCCGATAGCTTTGCAACTGGAGGAGCAAATGATTTACTACAGCGTACATCCGCAACATTTAGCAGGTTTCATCAATGATTGAAAATCTAATGATGTTTTTCTTGATAGTAACACACAATTGTTTGGCGGTTCCATAAACGCAACTTCAGGAAATAAACAGATACAAAAGAAATCAGATAAGGCCGTGATTCTCCCTATGTTTATGTGATTCACATGATTTGCACAGTCGCCAGGGTTAATATATAATAGACGGAGTATAATAGACGGAATAATGGCCAAGTTTTTCTGTGAGCTGCTGTAAAAGATGACAAACCAGAGCAAATGTAAAGACCCCAATGAATTTCGTGCTCTATTGAACTTTTTCACTCTAACTGAAAACTTAACCGTAACTGAACACAAGATTCGATCTTGGGTGATATCAATATTCACCTTCCCTTCACTAACGCTATTCAAAACAACACGCTTCTTCTTTTTGCCGCAAGTATGTCGCAGACCACGCCCACCAGCTGCACCGGACGATTCTGTTGCTACACACCCCTACCCCCCCCCCCTCCGGCCCATCTATCCCTCCTCATCGAGTCGAACCATCCGGGGGGGGGGTGTGGGAAGGGATGGGTGTATAGCACGCAAGAAACAGGAAAGACACGATAAATCAACCACCACTCCTGATAGGCCGAAAACCAGACACACCTCCTACTATTAGCATGTACGACCCCCCCCCCGCGTTTACAACGTCAGTGGAGCGAGAAAAATCAATATAAAAAAAAGAAATTTTTCCATCGGCACATAATATCGTACTCGGTCCACTCCTCTTCTGAGGACCACTTAATACGACCTCCCCCCTAGTAATGGGGATCTCCCAACAAAATTTCTTATCAGATTATATCTATATAAGTGATAGAAGAACGATCCCCTCTCATCTATGCCTCGGGGTAAAAGCCCATACCATGTGACCATTGATGTCGTACCAAAGACTCCTCGGAAACTAATTAATAGTTGAGATATATAGATAGACTCGTGCGGTTCTCCCAATTTACTGGAGACGTTAGACAAGTTTACTGATGTTAGGCTCTACGTGGCGGTATGGTGCGTCGAACTCCTCTGAGCGTGCTCGGGGCTATATTGGTGGGAGGGTTGGAAGACGGTGTTATGAATTGTAGCTCTCATCAGTCGCTGACTCTCCGGTGCTCCAGCTCTAAGCGCAGCATCTACTCTCGAGCTGATTGTTATCGTATTGTGTAGTAACTGTCTTCAGCTCTGTGTTCGTGCAACGCTATCCTCGCGAGCGGCAACGTAACCTCAATAAGCCTACAGTTGAGGGTCCGCCTATTTACTTAGAGGGAATTTTAACTTACAGTGTCCTACAAGGCTGCAGTAAACGGCACAGAAAATTGCATTCGTTCATTCATCTGGGGGTTCGAAAGGTTTTTACACCAGGGGAACCCGCAGGTAATAAAGGGTACCTATATGTAGAGAAGTAGAAGACTTACGACAGCTATCCCCATCTCCCGATTGGGCAGAATCCTCGAGTTAACCTCTCCCCCCTATCTCAAAACGAACCATCGAACGTCGAACCTTATTGTTCGTATTCTTGCGTCTTACAGCATGTCCCATCAGACATCGACGATAAAGTTCAACTAACAATTTTCTAACACACTTAACAAGTTCAACTGGCAGGTAACGAGTATCCCTCATGGATCACCCGACCGAAAATCTGGTGTTCGGTGACCCTCATGCATGATCCGAGAAGCTGGCTGAAACAAATTTTTAGAAAATTTAAGCTTCAGAGCTATGATGCCGGGAGCTGACTCCTGGTATCACAAATCCGATGAAGAACTAATTACTTAGAAAAAAAATCCATTGTATGTGTAAGAAAGAAAAGGAACCTACAGGTCGGGATCGCTTCAAGAAGGCACTATGGTAGAGGGCGAATCCTGCGATGCACCATGTTCGTATTCTTGCGTGTCATTAGGTGGTTTAGGCCTTCTTGTAGATTTATTCTTCTTACAGCATGTCCCATCAGACATTGAGGATAAAGTTCAAACAACAGTTCAAGGCACAGTAACTTGCAGCATGACAATGGATTCTCTGGATAAAACTAAGGTTTCGCTGAAGGGAAGGAAAAAACCCATTCTCGTCATGACTCATGCCCTTTTATCCTACAATTCTCTGCTCCGCCCGCCCTCGCCGTCCATCGTGACTACGGTCACGAGACTCCGCCCGGAGAGATGGCGTCCACACCTGGCGATAATTACGAGGGCCCCACTACCTGACCGATCGCACGACACACAGCCATGCGAACATCAGAGTGTTTCCGTGCGCTCTGTCATGCCGAGAGGGAGAGCGAACACTCATTCCCACACATGAGGCGTAACGCGCTGTTTACGATAGGTGCTTCTCTCCGGCCGCGAAGAAAATTACGTGAACATGGAAGCTGTCACGAGGACGACATTTTACGCCAGAGTCTGAATAATCTCCCATGACTACAATGAGCTAATACCCAACTTAATCTGCCATGAGTACCTGATGTATTAAGCTGAAGTGGTTAACAATTGCTCTACTGAGGGAACATGTACGGACACAACACCGTTACATGATGTTCTACTTGACTAATGCGGTTATTGTTGTTACAGTAAAAACAGTAGACTCTACTGCATTTGGTCTCGTGGTTAGCATCGAGACGGATTTGGAAACACTTGAAGCACAATTTCAGCTCACGCATTCTGTCCCTACGGTCTGACAAGGTCGGATAAACATCACAATCACTTGCGAATTGATGGGTTGTGGATCCACAAGCAAATTTGCATTTTCCTTTTTCGATCCATCTGCCAGCGCCTCCAACGAGTTCTTTACCAGACTGTTGCTGATCGACACTAGACTGCTTCACGGTCTGCGCGACGACGGCTGACGGTCCAGCGGTGACGACCGAAGGTGCACGGATGGTCTCTTCCGTTGACGTTGACGACTCATTAAGCAATGCTCGGAGTTGGTCTTCAATTTCTTTGATCTCCTTCTTAGCGTCTTGAGCGATCTTCTGGAATGTGGAAGTATACTGACATAGGAGTGCTACTTTACGATACTGACCATTTTATGTGGTCGTCTTCTCTTTTTCAAAGGAGCACAATTGCGATGAGCAGACCACGGTTTTTCTCTCAAGAAAATTTTCGTTCCTTGAGGAACATTGACATTATGTCATTCGCAAAATGGGGCTTACCAACCTCTTTTGACGAAGCTTCTTGCCGTAGTCTAGTTAATTGCTGCGAAAGATCCGCGATGATCGCACGAAGTGCCGCAGCTGTAGTTTCCTTTACGACCTTGCTTACGTTAGAGGAAGTACCCGTCTCTTCTACGGCTGGAGGGACTCCCTCCGTGAATTCCATACCATCCGTTTCGGAATGGTTCGACGACATTCTTAAACGATGCGCTTACTTATGATAGTGCACGAAACGTTGATGTCATTTGAGTATGCGATGTTCGATGACAAGTTAAAGGTTAAAAATTCGAAATATTTGAAAAATGACTCTTGAAAAAGCACGAATGATACTGCTTATAAGGTGACAGAGAAATCTCAGAATTGAAATAATTGTAATGAATGGGAGCAAACAGGGGAATTTCGTCATGAGTGTCAGTGATGAAGATCGCCTGTTGGAAGTGATTTTCGAAATCACAGCAAATGTGAAGAAAATTGCCATGAAGAGGAAAATCACTACTGCAGTCGAATAAATAAAATACTATTCTATTTCGCCGAGTAAGTGCCAGATATCGGGGAACCGAGTGCATAAACTGACTCTTCCTGATGATTTATCTCGTTGCAGACGGTTGCAGGGATAATCATCAGTCGAGATGAGAACTCGGTCGAACTCACGTCAATCCTGTGAATGAACACAATTTTTTCGTCCTTCGAAGTATTGCTGTCCTCCATATCTGCTCTTGCTGTGTTGACCAACATAGGGCTGCGCGGGTGAGGTGTGAGATGTCGTGAATGAGTGCCTGAAGACTTTGTCAAATCTGAAACAGGTTTCCGCCCTGATTTTGAGCTCGAGCGAGAGTTGAAGTGACGACGGACGAGACCTGACGAACTTTGCGACGATTTGCTAATCGCTACGTCCTCGTACGCTTGGTGAGGTGAACCGGTCTCTTGATTGACGAGATTTATCTCTCATGCTACGATTGCGATGAGGACTGAGGTTTCCTTGCCTGAGTCTTAGACATAAGGCATTGTTGTGCTGGCCACCACAATGATGGCAAGGAGTTTTTTTTTTGCATTGCGACCTATAATGTTCCGTAGAAAAGCACTTGAAGCACTTATTCAATTCTAGGATGCGTTGCCGTATTGACTCAACAGACTTATACCTGTTACAGTAACGGAGCTTATGTGCACCAGAACATGCAGCGCAGCTGTACTGAGCACTGCTACCAACCTGACTGTGAAGTGTAGTGGTCTGTACAGCATTTGCTGGTATGTGCTCAGTATGAACTTGCGTAATTTCGCATTTCTTTACAATTTTACGAATTCTCCGACATCAGTGTGTCCATAGACCATACACTGTTGTTGTCGTATTCTTTCGAGAGAAGCTTGCGTTGAATGCTAGCAGGAAACTTTCTTCGCACCTTCGTTTTATATTCCAGTGCCCTTCGAAAAGGGAAAGAGGAGCAATGACAGCCATAATGTCATTAGCAGTTGCTCGTAGCTGCGAAGCTTTCTCCGAAGATTGCGGTATCTTGTCCAGTTGCTCTAAAAGCAACTTCACGTTCAGTTCTTCGTTATGGAACTGATCATGAAGTTGTTTCACGGCATCCTGATACGACGACCCTTTACGAGGAATGTATTTGAGGGCTCTTGCGGCTTCACCCTTACATTTGTCAAGTAGAATTGTAAGCTTTTCGATTTCACTGTACGGCTGCTTATGTACGAGCTCGGAGAATATTTCCCAGAACTGTTCGAATTGCGTAAGATCACCGAAGAATTCTGGTATGCGCAATTCTTTGCGATACCAGTGTGGTGGGATGTCTTGCGCTGGAGTCACTAATTCAATCGTCATACTTGGAGAGAATGATGATGAGGGTGTGTTTGCGCTTGCGCAGGATGAAGAATACTATTACGTTGACGTTCCAGATTATCGAATTCTTCCGAGTACGAGATTTGCATTTCTTGAAGGGATAATTCGTTGAGTCGCATTTCCAGACTTTGGATTAGTTCCCTTACCCCTTCTAGTGTCTCATCACCCTCTTTTTCCTGCCAGTACGTTTCGAATTGCGAACTTCCCTCGCTACTCTTACCGAGGCTACTTAAAGTTTCTGCATATATTTTCGTGATTGCGTCAAGTTTCGTTTCGAGTTTCGAAATGGTACTATGTACGACATTACGTTGAGTACGTATGAAGACATAGAGATCTTTACGAGCAGATGTAGCCATCCTTCTTTGTACTCATCGCATTCCGAAATGATGTCCTTGAAATCATTCAAGTGTCTAGTGAGACGTTGCTTTGCGGTAGTTAGTGTCATGGACACCAGTAGACGAGAACTAGTCGACGAGAAGCGCGTGTAATGAAAGCGTGGTACAGCTGACTGCCGGGGATAACAGATGAATGTTTCTCTTACGAAGGATTTGCGTAGGAGAACCACATAAGAGCGCGATGTTCACATACTGTAGATCTGCCTTTATGATAGGCATAGTGTAACCCGCTTGCATTTCTGGAATGCAAGCTGATCGCTTTTCTAATAAGACTGCTGGCCTGTCCATAGCCCTGAGGCTGCAAATAAACGTAAAATGCTTGCTGGTCCTCAACCAGTGGCAGGTAACGAGTATCCCTCATGGATCACCCGACCGAAAATCTGGTGTTCGGTGACCCTCATGCATGATCCGAGAAGCTGGCTGAAACAAATTTTTAGAAAATTTAAGCTTCAGAGCTATGATGCCGGGAGCTGACTCCTGGTATCACAAATCCGATGAAGAACTAATTACTTAGAAAAAAAGATGTATGTGTAAGAAAGAAAAGGAACCTACAGGTCGGGATCGCTTCAAGAAGGCACTATGGTAGAGGGCGAATCCTGCGATGCACCATGTTCGTATTCTTGCGTGTCATTAGGTGGTTTAGGCCTTCTTGTAGATTTATTCTTCTTACAGCATGTCCCATCAGACATTGAGGATAAAGTTCAAACAACAGTTCAAGGCACAGTAACTTGCAGCATGACAATGGATTCTCTGGATAAAACTAAGGTTTCGCTGAAGGGAAGGAAAAAACCCATTCTCGTCATGACTCATGCCCTTTTATCCTACAATTCTCTGCTCCGCCCGCCCTCGCCGTCCATCGTGACTACGGTCACAACACTTATCATTGAACCACCACGACTCGATTGGACGTATGCGGTTCCTCGCTTATGCTTCACAGCTCACCACCAAGCCTCCACCCTACTGCACCATTACAAACTTTACCTGCTCATAAGTTGCTTGTGAAATGCACTTGCAGTTTTGCTATATATATTGTAAATAACCTTACAGACTCTATCGATCTACCCAGGTCTCCATTCAAAGTTTCATAGTAATTTGGAGGGCTTCCCCGGTCAGAGTAATAGGTGGCTCTTGGGAAAGATACAACCCATTTTCACCATACAAGTTCTCATAAGAGCTGTGAGAGAGAAAGTGAAGAAAGTTCACGAAAATGGTTCCAGCAACAATTACCAATGTGCAGCGTAAACATTACAGTACAGCCACGTTTATTCGACTTTGGGAGAGAAAATATCTCATTCAAATCTTGCGCCTATTAACCAAAGGATAAAAGCCTTGACGCTTTTCGAGAGCAGCCTCTCTAGCAGAGCAGTGACGATAGCCGAAACCAAATCGGCCGCAGGTCCTAGCATCGCATTTGCAAGCAGGAGAAATGCTAGGAGAGCACATCTGAAACAGCTTTGAATGAACCAGACATGAAGGTTTATATAAGATCCTTTAAGAACAAGCCTACCAAGAGAAGAGCGACCCAGAAGAATAAGTAATCAACTTTCATGGTCCTCAGAAGACTGATGGAAGACGGGTTTCCTGCATAAAAATTAGATGAACCGTCATCAATGCAAAAATACTCTTTTTTTTCTTCATCCTCTTCTCCTTTCTGTGGCCAGGTCTACTCTTTTGCTAGTATGATGCTAGTTATCCGATTGAATGCCTCATCGAGGTGTGCTGCAATAATCAGTCATCCCCAGGAGCGACAGTCAAGCATTCGGCATTTTTGCATGTCTGAGGTCGGAACTCTCAAAAAAGACCATTGCTGCAGCTCGAAATAGCTTTTCTCCACAGGCAAGCATCACGTCTTCAGCATACAATAGAGACCATGTACTCGTTTGCTGGTAATCTCATAAGATAGTGTCAACAAAGAGCGATATGGAGTATGGAAATGCATATCAGCTCTTAGACCTCCTGTGTGATGGGATTTCTAACAAGGTCCCTGTTGCTGAGCGCACGCAGCTTTTTAGGCTGGAGTAAAGGATACTTAGCTACTCAATGAGGTCTTCGAAAAGGCAGTGCTGCTGTAAGCCGTACCATGAATTTCACGGGGACCACAATCGAATGTCGTCTTCAGTAGAGGAGGGCTCCTATCTGACGGGTTTCTACAGCGGACGGCGAACGACACGCGTAATCTGATGATGCCGCGAAGGGTCTGACTGGTGGAAAGCTGGCCGATATCACGACCAGATTCCTCTGTGAATATGAAAACACAAGCCTGCTCACCGACTCACACACGGTCCTGCAAACCTAATGAGACCCACAGGCCTACTGAATGCGATATGGTCTGTGCAACGACTTGCAGGGCGTTGCATAGACCATATCGCGTTCATTATGCCTCCGCGATTCCGTGGAGAAGCGGAATGAGCGCCGCTTACAAAAAGGTTCTATAAAAGCATTATCCGTTACAGTGTGCCTCACGACTACTACTACATGAGAACTTGAAGGAAATGGCTATACCACTTTGACCGCCCGCTTTCACAAAAGTGGAGGAGCTGCATAACAAAACAACTGCGCGTGAATTCTTTGCAGTATCGCTGCGAAATTGCCAAGAGAACACAAACATTTCGTGCTTCAAAAGGGTACTACCTGTCACTGAAATAACATTTTTGTACACAGGTAATATGTTCACATACTCCACTGTAAGGGCTGCACTGTTATTAGGTTGTCCGGAAAGTTCTCAGCGTTTTGGGTGTTTCACTTTAAACGATCGTAACTTTTTTAATACTCATCGGATTTAATCGAAATAGGCACCATTCGAATCAGCACACTTTTGCCAATGTGACAGCAGTCGAGAAATCCCATCAAAGAAAAACTGGGTGGTCGAGAATCCACGAAATCTACGAAGGCTTTTTTGCCTGGTCCTGATTGATGAAGTATTTTCCAGCAAGGGAGTTCTGAAAATGTTTGAAAAGGTGATAGTCGGTTGGCGAAAGGTCTGAAGAATATGGCGGTTGAGGTAGAACTTCAACCCCAATTCGTTCAATTTATGGATAGTGATTTGTGAAACGTGTGGGCGGGCGTTGTCATGCAAAGGAATCGGACCCTTTCTTTTGATAAGTGTTGGCTGCATCTGACAAAATTTTCGGTACAATTCGTCGATTTCTTCACAGTAGGGTTCTGCTGTGATGGTTTGGCCTGGTGATAAAAAGTTATAGTGGATCACACCAGCCGATGACCACCAAGCCGTGACCAGAATCTTTTTTCGTGAGGGTTCGGCTTTGAAAATTACCTCGGTGGTTCGTCGAAATCCAACCACTGTCCGGAACGTCTCCTGTTATCATACATGACCCATTTTTCATCACAGGTGACAATTCGGCCCAAAAACAGGTCGTTTCTGCTGCGCAAAAGGAACCTCGAGACGTGCCGATTCCTGCCGGTCACTCCGATTGTGGGGCACCCAATTGTCGAGTTTTTTCACCTTCCCAATGCGTTCCAGACCATCTGCAACAGTGGATTTGCCAAGGCCTAGCTCTTCTGCTATCTCTCGAACTGTTTGGGATGGGTCAGCCTCCAAAATCCCCCTAAAATCCTCGTCAGATATTGCTTTAGGTCGACCGCTATGAGGTTCATCTTCAAGGCTGAAATCTCCAGAACGAAATTTGTTGAGCCATTGCCGCACAGTGCTTTCTCTAGCACTATTGGGCCCCACACCTGGTTAATTTGTTGAGCTGTTTCGATTGCGGATTGCCCCAATTTATAGTCGAAGAAAAAAATCGTCCGAAGTGCTCTTTTCACATGCTTGAAAAAATCTTGAAAAAAAAGGGGTTTATCAAGCAATGGTGAAACGGCAATTATACCATCAGATAGCGCAAGAAATTCTCTACAGGATGTGCTACTGAGAAGCAAGGCAGAATGAGTTTTTAATCAGCAGTGAATGTACAAAAAATAGGTGCACAAAACGCTGAGAACTTTCCGGACAACCTAATACTTTCGTGTTAAGTGTACACATCCTGCTTGTTTAAACTCAGGGATTCTTTTCTTACAAGGCATTGGTTACGCTGTTTCGACCGTCGAAGTGATATGGCCGCAAGGAGAGAGCCAGAAAACAGCGAGTACTCCAACGACCCTCACTCTTTTTGTGGTGATGTATAACACAGAGATGAGTGAGACAAAAAAACAACTATTGCCTTGAGAGAGATAAGAACGGCATGTAAGGCAGCAGATGTATTGCAATTGAACTGCTCGATCAGCTTCTCACAGTACCCTTTTCTATACAGATGATAAGCAGGGTCGTTTCTGCATTAATTGTATCAAAATGGGTGAAATGCTTTGGAAAAGGCACAGGGCCTTTTGATAGCGTGGGAAAGCTGATAGATATATTCCAGCGTTAATAATAGTATGAATGGGTATGGAAATCATCCAAAAATAATTATTTTCAAGGTTAGCATCACAATCGTTCTAGCACTGTAATGAAGAAGCATTCTGCGCTAATGTTTCCAGGAGGGATGAGATAATTTCTGCAGCCAAACATCAGCAAATACTTCAACATTTTCGATATCATCTGCACAAACATGGAAAAGAATAAGAGCTTGCTGTTACTTTACTTATTGATTACTGGTTTTCTTTCCAAAAGCGGTAAGTCTGAAATAAGTACATGAATGCTCTAACATCACCGAGCGTAAGCCCCATGACTCAAGGTATAGGGGTGGGTTCATAGTTGGTCACTGGTAAGGGGATTGTACTGATACCGCTATTTTACAAGCCCTGTTGTACTTACAAGGCTAGAGGGCTTACCGTAAAGACAACGACCACGACGAAGCCTCAGAACCTCGAAAGGCAGCACAATATAAACCCAATAAAAGCAAACGAGCTCATAGCAGCAGAGGAAAGGAAAGTTAACAGAAACTGCAAAAAGGAAAAAGCCTCTAGCACAAAAACGGAGAAAACGCGACTGGCTTTCCTTCCGTTATCGTTCG